TGCAGCAACATGTATAGTTTACATGTGCATAGCTTATACATCCTACCATTTTACCCTGTATATATTCATTTTGTATCACGAAAATCTTATTGGCTTAGTATTCCTTAATAATCAACATATAATGCAGCATGCAACTCACACCCCTGGATGCTACCTTAAATTCCATGTTTGATTTGTCTTTGTTATGAAATTATAATTTATTATTTCTGATCATGTTTTCCAGTTTTCATTTTGTCATTCTATTCAAGTGGCAGATTCAAAGAGGATATTTTAACACGTGTGTTTGATTGGAAATTCAGGTAAAATAAAAATAATCAAATATTATTCTTGCTATATTAAAAGCTCATGCATCTCTCTCTAATACAACAAATATTGTTACATTTCAAGTAAACTTAGTTTTACTTCAGAAAATTGTTATATAGGTTTAAAGACATACTGGTGATTGAATTAACCGAAGCATAGCATATGTCAACATGAAGGCAGTATGGTGATTGTGGTCTAAGTGTTCTTATACTCACATTCTCATGATATCCTTATTATAAATTTATTAAGCCATAACAGCCAATAAAACATTTCAGGAGAAATATGCGATAAAAGATTGTTTGTGTCTCAGCTATACCCACTAGATGTTACATTGTGGCAGTGTTCAGACATGACGTAATTGTGCTGCACACTTTTTCATTTGTTTTCAGACCCAATGCAAATTGTGGAATTGCAATTGGTACAATACTTGTACCTTTGGTTGTTGTTAGCAACACTATTGCTTTATACAATCAAGATCCTGTGAAAGTGAACTGGATGGAATGTTATCAATATTATCTTGCAGCTGTTGGTACAAGTCTGTTGTGTGTCATTAATTCATTTTATTGTGATTGTCTGTACGAATCAAATCCTGGAATATGTGCAAAGATTTACTGGTGTGGTATGATCGCATCTGTAGCACTCATTCCATTGTTGGGTGGTGTTTTTACAAGTTTTATCCTTGGAGCAATTACAGGTAGGTGTTCTCTCAGTGTATCTATTGAAAAATTACTTTCCATTTCTAAAATGAATGTATAGCACTGGTCTTGAATTTTAATTCTGTGAAGGCATTTAATTTTATGTCTGAAACTGCTACTTTAAGTATTAAATAGGCGACATTAATTTGTTAATTTGGTTTTGTTCATCCATCTGTGCATGCACAAAGCCATTTCTCAGACATGCTTTGACCGATCATGTTCACACTTAACACATAGACCATGTTTGGTGACTTGCATATGCATGTTAATCTTCAAAACCATTTCATCAAATATGGTGGCCAGACTGCCATTTTGGTTTTGGTAAATTCTGATATTTAAACATGTCAGTGACTGCTTCTCAGAGAAACAAAGGGAGATTGTATTTAAAGTCCATAGCATGCATATTAATTTACAGGTGCATGTCATATTTTTCTTGTCTATGCTGATTACTCACAAATATATTGCCTAATTCAGTTGAAAGTTTGCATACAAGTATTAGTCTCATAGGTAATAACTGTAGGTTGCGTTATTTTGTGATTTGATCAAATTTGTTGAATTTGACTGCCATTTTGTCTAAAATTTTATAATCGTAATCTGTAAATGAGGCCAGAACTTTCTATCATGATCAAGCATATTAGGTTACAGGTGCAGTGATAGCCGACTGGTGGCCATTTTATTATTTATTAATGAATTAAAAAAAAAATTAATTTCTGTTATGTTTTGTAGGATTTTCAGTTGTTTGTAAACTTGTGAACTTCTTACCTCATAGTTTTACATTTGGTGAAGGTGTGCTTGTAAGCCATGGTTTAGTCTTATTCCTCATGGATAGTGTCCTCAATATTACTGGATATTACAGTAAACCAAAACTACATAGCTGTCTACAGGTAAGAGGAAGTAATACTTTGACCTCCGATTGCATGCTGGGAAATTCAATGTTCTCCACAAAGATAGTTGCACCTCTTTCTTCCTGACAGAAATTATCTCTCTGAGCGAAAGATTGTATTATAGGAGAAATAAAATATGCAAATTATGCAATTTCATATGCAAACTTGACTGGGGAGAATTGGCCAAAAATAAAAATGATCTATTGTGAACACTGAACAGTTTATAATCTTGACATGTGTCACTGCAGGTTCTCCTACTTGGTGCATTATTCATAGGACTAGCAATGTACCCAACTCTTTACACCATGAGGCAGGTGAGAATGATGCAAGAAGTTAATCAGTAAGTATAGATATTAAACAGTAAATTTACATTCAAAATTTCATCACCATCTTGAAGTGTCAGACTCACTGTCTTAATGTGCTTGACTGTGTATGATGCTATGTACCATAGTATGGAGGGCAACCAGCTGTGTATGATGTTATGCACCATAGATGGAGGGCAACCAGCTGTGTATGATGCTCTGCACCATAGTATGGAGGGCAACAGCTGTGTATGATGCTATGCACCATAGTATGGAGGGCAACCAGCTGCATGTGTATGATGCTATGCACCATAGTATGGAGGGCAACCAGCTATGTATGATGCTCTGCACCATAGTATGGAGGGCAAACAGCTGTGTATGATGCTATGCACCATAGTATGGAGGGCAACCAGCTATGTATGATGCTCTGCACCATAGTATGGAGGGCAACCAGCTGTGTATGATGCTATGCACCAATAGTATGGAGGGCAAACAGCTATGTATGATGCTATGCACCATAGTATGGAGGGCAACCTACTGTGTATGATGCTATGCACCATAGTATGGAGGGCAAACAGCTGTGTGTGATGCTATGCACCATAGTATGGAGGGCAACTAGCTATGTATGATGCTATGCACCATAGTATGGAGGGCAATCAGCTGCGTATGATGCTATGCACCATAATATGGAGGGCAACCAGCTGTGTATGATGCTATGCACCAT